AGTGTTGGCCAATTGGTATGATGACTTGAGCCGAAGGTTCAACACCGGCTTGTGGATCATGCAGACCCCAGTGGGAGCCAAGAGCTCGGGAGTGAGGACATTGAAGATGTAAAAAACACTTCCTGTTACTTATTATTATGTGTCTTTCCTCTTTCATTTTCTTCCACTTCTTTCTTTGTCTTGTCGGGGGGATACAGTAAAAAAGGCGTTCTCAGTTCTCTCAGAATGCGGGCAATGTGGAGCTGTCCCGTGATCCGGCGGCCCTGGCCGTACTTGTTTGGGTATTCTTAGGTGGACTTGACTACACCGAAAGAATCCCCAAACACGTACAGAACATGAATGTCTTGGAAACGTAGGGTCAGTCCTTAAGAAAGGGAAGTCAAGTGGCTTTCAGGGTGTGAGAGATACAGTTTGATCAGTTGCCCGGCTCGAGAGCAATCTTGGGTGAGATATGCACAGTCCTCAAAGCAGCGTTTTCAGAGGATTTGGATTGTGAATTTCGTTCAACATCCAGTCCTGGCTTTCTTGAGGTTGTTTCACACCGAGATTGCATCGAGATGGGCATCGGGGGTAAGGCACCCGCTGGCATCTAAGTCTAAGCCTTCAATTTGAGCTGAACCATGTGAGGAGAACAGTCCTAAAACTGCAATATACTCTGTATGAGGCGGGGGACATGAGCAACTCTTGGTAAATTGCACCATGAGCTTCGAATCCTCCGATGAGTACTTATAGATTGAATAGAGCCAAGCACTTCCTTGGTTGAATTTTTGGCAGCGCTCCCACATCGAGCAGGTGATCTTTGCTGTGAACAACGGCTTCCAGCACTGGTGCTGATTGAAAAGGGGCGCTGAATCGGGTGGATGATGGTGGATTCTGGATGACGTTTAATTTAAGATGCGGAAGTGGCAGTCCGCAGTGCAAACAGACTGGGTAAACTATACAAAAGAACAGAAAAGAGGAAAAAAGAAGTTGAAAAGACGGACGGTATACAATATACAAGGCCCCCTTTCAAAGATGCCCCTGCTCAGCCCTTCTTGTTGTGCCATATAAAGAGGAACAACGTCCAGTAGGGTCAGGTCATAGATGGCAAGAGGTGTGCCTCCACCCTAACAGCGATGGCCTCCAACCTACTTGCGATGGCCTCCAACCCTGGGTTTGGTTGCTTACACACCGTAAGTGGACTGTTCTCCAGGTGTGGCCATGAGGTTGACTCGTGAACGCTGACCTCAAAAATACAACCTCCCTGAGACACCAAATTGAAGGAATTTCAATCTGTGAATCTTTAGAACTTGACTTTTCCGACGAAAATACTTTCCGTGGAACACGAAAAAAGACTCCGACTTCCCTCAGCCATCAAAGGCGCCTGCTTGATGGCATTTGTTTCCCACATTTTTTCTCCAGCCATGTTGTTACCGCAGGTTGCTACAGGTCCGAGGATTTTTTGCATGTGCTTTCCATTCGTCTCAGTGGCAGCATGTGGCAGCTGTTGAGGCTCGCTGGGAAGCATCATCAACCATGCCAGCAAAGAGTGAATTGGATTTTCAATGAATTTCATATGGCCCTCCATTGCAGTCGGCGCTTTTGAGGTCGCAGAGTCTCGTTAAGGCAGAACCACCCCTTTTTGACGAACAATGCTCAAATGTCCGAGCAAATGCGAAGGCAGCATTTAGTGGTGCCACACCTACCACTGTGACAGTTGCCAGGAGACTGTTTCTTCATTAAGAATGGGATCAATAGACCACTTTAAAATATGTCAAGTCAAAGCAAAGGCTTTAATTTTTGCCATTGGTACCTCGATCGAATTTAATATCAACATCGCACTACCGAGCCAAGAGTTGACCAGTGAGAAGACAGAAGCGGTTGACCAACCGGCAAAAGCTACAAGTTCGAGGCGGTGTATGCGGTTCATCCAGTGAGTTGAGACAGACAAAACGGTTTCCCAAAACAACTCATTCGAGTTCGCAGACATGCTTGAAGCACCCTTTGCTCCTAGTAGCTGCTTTTTCCTGGTAGTAAAGCCAGGAGCCCCTAGTAGCGTCCTTGTTCCTAGTAGCGATTGTAACGATCCTTTCGGGTTCCGTCTGAAGCTCCCAACTCTAGACACGCGCCGACGACCTGTTTGTGAGGGGTCAGTCTCCTCCATGAGAACAGCGTGGATTGTATCATCTCTTTTCTTGTCGGGAAGCACAATGTCGACACCAGATTTGACTTCTTAAACCGATTTTCTAGCTAAATAGCATATGCGAAACACATTCAATGCGATTGGAGAACCCAAAGGGGTTCTCAAAGACATATCGCCGTGACACATCGCGTCCTCTATGAACTTATAGCTAGTTTCATAGCTCTTCAACGTGACTTAAAAGACGTTTCCTGCTGAAGTTTCCAACATCTAGGAACCTCATTAGCGTGAGCTATCCTGCATCCTAGCTAGGATACTGCTAGTAGCTAATTCCATTACTTAATTAAGTAGGCGCCGACTTAACTGAGTAAGGGCGGGCAAGAAAGAAACAAGGAAAAGAATCCATTGTTACTAGTAGCAAGAATGCTCCTAGTAGTGAGGTCAGGAGCCCCTAGTAGCATCCTTGTTCCTAGTAGCGATGCCCTTTTCTCCTAGTAGCGTTCCCAACAAAAAGGAAACGTTTTGAGCCAACGAAACTGAAAAGCCTTCGGATGTATTGAGGTCTTGCGTGCAGCAGGTGGTTTGCCAGGTGCGTTGAACACTTGTGGCTTAATCATCCGAACAGGACGAAATCATACGAAATCTCAAAACGGAATGATCTGAACATAGGGGTGGATCACATGCAGTATGATGTCTGGTCAAGCACATGTAGAGCAGTGCTGCGGCCAGATACGGGTCTTGGCACCTCCAAAGGTGGTGGAAGACTTTACCAAAAACCATGGAAGGACCAGCGCTGAGATTTGAGCCCGCCAAATCTAGAGATGGCAATTCACTGAAGCTCGAACTAATTCTACTCCCCTCTTGGAGTCATAGCGCTTCTTCCTCCAGGATATTTGGGTCCACTTCGACCTTCGGAGCCCCGCCGGACCTCTTGGGCGTTGTTTTTGTTTTTTGCTGTTCATGGTCAACAGTAGATATGACGCATAGGAGTGCCATATTTGTTGCTTGGAATTGCCTCGGTGAGGGGTTCGGAGAGAATGTGAACTGTGCACCACTTTTGTTAGACCGGGGATGTGCCCGTCCTGAGGTTCTATGGGGATCGCGTCCTGGGACGCCTCGTTTACGGTGTGCCCAAGAAGGAACACCATTGCACCGCCCAGAGCCAAGAGCACAGAGCGGGCCTTTTCAGCAACTGCAGATTGGTTTTGGTTACCCACCCATGATCGTCCATGATCTCAGGTTCTTACGAACTTGACTGATTCCACTCTTCTGTGCTTACATCAACCCATGATTCCTCACTTGTTGTGGTTTTCGCCCGGGGCACACGTCTCAGGAAGGGGACTACGACATCCCCGATGCTGAGGAATATACGCCGGCTGGGAAAACTCGCAAAGAGGTACGGTGAACAGGGGACGGGGACGTAAGTAATCTGAAGCGCCAATGTATTGTGGACACATGCAGCTATAAAAAGGACAACTTTTGTACATTAGTATTTGGTGTCCCTAAAAATCTAGGAACCAAATCATTAGTGTGTGAGCTATCTTGCGTTCATATGTAGCTTAAGTAGCTAGTAGCGAACTACTCCCTTCCTTATCTAAGTAGGCACCTACTTAATTAAGCGGGCTAAACAGATTGTTTTTGCACAAATTGCGTTTTCACTAATCTTCACACCAGGTCCGGCTCATCAACATCGTTTTGGTGGAGCGTGGGACTTGCTCCTTTGTGACAAAGGTGGCATTGGGGAGTTTGGAAATGCGTCTTTCGTTTGGAGTTTTGTTATGTCCTGTCGTTGATTTTTGAAGAAATTCTATGACAACTTGTCTCAATGGCGTTGGAACAGAGACATCATGCCAATCACACTTCTTATCTCTCCGCTCTTGTTCGTAATACGAAGGACAGGAAGTGGAGGTAGAGGCCACCAGAGTGGACTGTGGCCACCCCGCTTGTGGACAATTTGTACCCATCAATTCGAAGGCGATCAGATTTGGGAAAGGGCCCTTCGAAGGAACACTTCACAGATCTTCGCAAACTTTCCGGATGATGGGCAGGTGAAGGTGGCACAGAAGAAGAAGGCGAGCCGACTGAGAGCCAGCTTTCCGTGATGAGGATGAGACTTTAAGAAATGAAAGTGATGCAGTGAAAGATGTAACCAAGTAATGGGGTAACATGATGTAACCAAGTGAAGATCAACGAGGTTTCGCACCATCGAGGAAGGCTTGTGAAGTTTTGACATGTGACCATATAATACCATATACTTGTCAGCCTTTGCGGCTTCGCGCAAGGCTCATGCTGTGATCATTGTAGACAACGAGGCGACCAGGGGATCCCTGAGCGAATTTTCAGCCAAGTTTGAAAACAGATGTCGGTTGAAAGCGAGCACATGTAGCAACTAGTCAGGCAGGATGCATTTTCCACACTTCTCACCTTAGTGCCACTTGTCATGACTTGGATGCCGAGGGATCACTGAAAACGTCCAAAGAGATCCAACACATTATCGTGGCGGACGACGGATATGGTGGGCTTCCAAAGGGACTGGGCTGGGGAAGTGAGGTTTATTCGATTTTATTCGTCTTCCAGCATCGTTTCAATTTGTTTCATACTGTTCAGCTTCTCTCCGCGCAAGATAACAAGAACTGTTCCCTGCGAATTGTGGCAGTGCCAACAAAAAGCATGATAGTACAATCATAAGCAGTTACTGGTTTGTCTTCGACATGTTTGGGTGTCTCTCAGGGGACAAGGCAGTTCCAGTGATGCTGCTTGAACATGCTTGAAACAGAAACATCAGAGTTCTTGAGCTGAAAGCATGTAAAGAGACCCAAATCTACAGAGGGCTGTTCCCGATTCCTGTCCATATCGGCCCACATCGGCCGTCATCGGCCGCCATCGGCCCTTGCTTTAAGGTGCAAACATCGACATTCCATCGGTGCTAATCTCTCGCAAGGTTCGAAGCAAACGACGCAAGCTTGGATCACAGCGCAGATCAAGATGTTGGCAAGATTTTGAGTGTCTTTTTAGCCACGCCAGCTATTGCGTAGTCTGGCATTTGGTTTAGTTCGTGAACATGCACACGTGCGTAAAACTCGCACCATACAATCACCTTTTCAGCTGTTCAGCTTTTTGGGCAACGTGACATATGACAAGCCTTTTTGGCAAAGCCTATCAAGCCACATTGCACGTCTAACCTCAGCCCAGTTGTGAAGCTGACGTATTTCTAGTTATTTCTAGTTGCGCACCCGCCACATCGTAAAACATCCTCACTCTCAAAAGGCCGTGCTGCAGTAAGTCCAAAGTCCCGATCGTTGGCTGAAAATCTACTAAAGCCATTAAGTCACATAACCATTGCTTCTAGGAACAAGTGCCACGCTACTAGTAACAGGTGCCTTACTAGTAGTAACAAGAAGCTATTAATTTAACTTTGTATTATCTCCTAAGGGGCTGGGATTTCTTCCATCCCAGAGCAAGACCTTGCTCCGTAAGCCATGGCCATGGGGGAGGTGGACAATGAGAGTCTACTAGGCAAGGTTTCTTGCTTGTTTGCTTGTTTGGTTGGTTGAAGTTGGTTGGTTGTTTTCGATGTTTTTGGTTTGTTCAACGACCTTGCGCCGTGGTATCGTTGTATTTCTTCCAATGGGAAGGAGTGATTTGGATTCGCATCAAACCAATCTTCCGTTCAAACTTAATTTCATGATGAGAATGGTAGCCCTCCCCAGACCAAAAGGCTGCATTGCAGATAGGAGCACTATGTAGCACTCGTATTTTGTTAAGTATCATGAGGATCACCACTTCAGCTATATGTTTTTATAGACACTTTCTGATGTACCCATCGATGCGAGGCCTTGACCGCTCCAACTTCAGCAGACTCTTCCATGATGGCCCGGAGGCGGAAGAAGAGCCCCGCAATTCAACCACGCTCAACCTGCTTGCAATGGCCTTGGCCTCCAACCTAAGAACGATGAGGTCAAAATATGGGGACTCTCCAAGTTTTCCACATGATAGTCTGATAGGCTATTTTCTGTGAATGTTGGGCAATTCCATTTGACCATCTACTTCACTTTTGTTGGTAGAAGTGCAATGCCGCTGCCCAAGCCATGTGGTGCGAGTCGGAGATCAAACCATACCTGGTTCCGGGATCTTGCAAGGATTAACCATAGTTAACAGTTAACCCAAGTTATTCCAGTGCTCATCCGCGCCCCGCAGATCAGCGCCTTGCGCCTTCTGGGCTTGCCGCACAGCCACGATTTTTCGGAAGGGCCGCCTCCGCTGGAGTTGGTCAGTCAGGCCAACACAATACTGGGCTAAATTCGATCTCTTCTTGATGCAAAACGAAGGATAACTCAATATAACTCATCATATCATATTTGCTTCACCAATCACCCGGATCCAGTATGAAGATTCTGCATTCACAGCAACCACCAGCTTCGTTGTACTACTCTGCCTTTTCCTACTTCAACTGAGCAAAGCATGGTGTTGGTTGCTCCGATGAGAAAGCACAGAGTTTCGATTTCTCCCGGAAGCCGCACAGATGCGCCGACTGAGATGCCCGGTGTTCCTTGGCGAATGGAAATCTGATTGTGCATTGGCATGCGCATTGCCGCCTCAACTTGCTAAAAGAAACACAAGGTTCTTTCTAGAAGTGGACTGGACATTTGTGACAATAGCTCAAACCTCAATCTCAGGCAGGGATTCGATTCAATTTGACTCAGATTGTCGGCACATAGAGCAAAGAGAGAACAACCACCGATCACAAACAAACATCGCCCGGCTGGTTCCCTGGTCTCTTAGTTCGCTGGCGCTTGGTCTCCTGGTGCGGATTGCGCTGGTCTCCTGTTCTGGTCATACTCTTCCGCTGGTCCGGTGGTCTTCTTTGTCCATGTGCATCAATGAATCAATGAATGGTCTTGGGGTGTTCAGCGCGTTCTGCAAAAAAGCATAAGAGTTGTGCAATTAACATTTTTAATTGAATTTGGTGAGTTCCACGAACATTTTGCAACGCTTGGATTGCGAATTAGCCCTGCAGCCGCAAATTGGCTTGTGTCTTGTGCTTCGCTCCCCCGAACCCCTCCAGCACCGGGACATTTGCGCTACTTCTTCCAAAGCATGGCGCCTGCCACGAAACATCACCATGCGCACCCAGCAAAATATAGCAGGTGTTTGATTTGCTTCGAGGTGGAGGCGCTGCGCCCTCCCCCCAACTTCCGAAATCTGCACTAGTTACTTTTGAGAAAGCATCACGCCTGCCACAAAAGCCGATTCTTTGAAGGTCAACCCACTGTATACACCCTGCAAAATAGAACATGATTCTATATATATTGCCTTTGATTTCTGTTGCTTTTGCTTGCCTGGTCCTTTCGTCGCCCGACAACCCTTTTCTTGTTGTTTCCTTTTTCTTGCACATATGAGGGCGCAAATATGAGAGCATGCACACACTTATGATTGGGTGTACGGAACTGAATGCCACATGCCACACGCCAGCCTAAGAAACCAAATCCTGAAAAGTCCAGGAGAACCCTATGAAGCCTGGAGGTCTTCAAAAGGAGAAAGGGCCAAAAGCTCAAGACCGAAAGCGACGAGCAGGTCGAGATGACGTCGTATGCTCATGTCTGCCAAGCTCATTAGCACTCAGGCTGCATATCCTGAGGTCACCATAGAGAGCTTCGTTGGGCACAGCTCTATGGGCCTCCTGTGCCCCCCCTGCTCATGGTAAAAGAAAACAATTCAAAAGAATCCCTGTGACTACAAGGGGCACACACACATGAGGGGGCACATGCACTGAACATTTACTGTAGATTGACACCAAATCTGCAGTTTCAGATTCCAAAAGTGCTGCGCCTGCACATTCAGGTTCACAAACGCCGTGCTAGTGCACGGGGAATATATTTCTTATCTGATTTGTTGATCCTCTGTTTTTTTGATGAGGGTCTTTTCTATTTTTTTGATCTCTCACCCCAGATTGTCCTCTAAGGATTCTTTGTCTAGCCTCCCTCATCGTTTCGCTCATCACACAAGCGTGGTGTGCAGTGGCTCCTTGATGAGATCAGAGACAGGTGCACAACTGTACCGGGTCCAATTCCATGCTTTTTGAGCATTCGGACTAACAGTCGCTACCGCTCTTGGTGAATTCAAATGGTAGTTCATTTCGATGTTTGGACTGTGCAAGTTGCAGTCCTCCAACCCCCATTGTGGTCAAACTACAGCTCAGGATGGATGGATGGAACGTCTATGGAGGAGGCAGGTGAGCACTACTGTGGATACTCCCGGATACCGTGAGTGAATACGTTTATATATGTTTATAATGAATCATAACAGTTATGGACCGACATGTGGGACCTGATCCCTCTCCTTTTCAGCGCCACCAAAGCACCTTCGGCACGATCCACGGACGTGTGCGCGTTAGGATTGGATGTGCCTTCGCAGTGTAAGCCGCTGAAGTATTGGCTAAGCGCTTACCTGGCAGGGGCCACAGGGGCCACAGGGGCATAATTACACAGGTTTTTGTAATCCTGTGAGATTGGAATGGCCAAAGTGAGACATCCAAAGAGTCAACCAGCTAGGGCTGCTTCTTTGTGATGCGGACCTGTTCCAACCTGGGGAACATGTCCTAAGAGAGGCATCGGCATGAGCATGCAATTGGCTGCTTCTCCATGCTTCTCGTCTAGGTTGTTGGATGTAGGTCTGGTTGGTTCCCTTTCCAGTTCTGTTTGTTTCCAAACAAGGCTTAAAATGACATATGTATTATATATATAACTTTAATGAATAAACACAAAGACACATGAATCCACACCATTTCCATGCATATCAATTCCCAGAACCCCCGTGTCTTACGGGTCTAAGGCATCCACGCTTCTGCCATTGACCACGTCATTGGCCTTGGCCCTTCCCCTGGGTGTCATTGCGATGGCCACAGGAATCTTGGTGCGTTCCGTGGCTTCTTTGGCGCGTTCCACGTGGGTGGAAACGTGTCAAACATCGAGACGACGTCGGTTAGAGAATCTTCTTCACTACAAAGAGTCACGCTGCATATTGTAGGCCTCACACCTGGTGAATACTACCCGCGGCCCTGGTACGTCACAGACATGTTGTGTGCAAGAGATCAGCCATGTGCTGGTGTTTCAAGGATTTCTCCCTGCATTCATGATCATTTTGGTCATTCATATCCATAAAGACGGCTGATTATGCAAGACATCTCCAGTAAGACATCTCCTTTGTCTGGATATGGGCATCGCTACTAGGAACAAAGAAGCTACTAGGGGCTCCTGGCCTTACTACTAGGAGCAAGGACGCTACTAGGGGCTCCTGGCATCGCTACTAGGAACAAGGACGCTCCTTTGTATTCTGTATAAACACATTCATATTTACTTCATGGCATCGGTTTTTGACGCGTGGTTTCCGAGGTGCCATGACTCCTGCAAGTTGCGAGGCTGAGGCTCGCTGAGCCGAACGGTTGAGAAGGTCTCAGTCAGGGGTTCTCTACTCTCTTCAGGACGTCAGTTTCGACACCCTTTCAACTTCTTCATTCTGAAAGCTTGATTTTCCAGGGATGTAAAGCCAACACTCTCTGTGGTGAGTGATCACAGGCTCACTTCGAAGACGTGCATGATCCAAGTAGAATCAAAGGAAACAGAAAGTGGGGGTGAGATGGGGTGAGCTTGGCAGAGATGTGTGGAACTCATTGAGGGTGGTTGTGCTCGACCATGTGCTAAGGCCTCGAACTTATGGCAATTCATCAACGAGGTCAGCATGAAGGGCCTGGTATGTGTGGTTGCTGTCACTCGGCCAGAATTGGCATTTGTTCTCCGTTTTTTGTCGAGAAAGAAACGCACCTCAGTTGACCATCATCCTGGGCGTGACCAGCACGACGATCTTCCCAACGTTGCGGGAGATCGAGGACCGCTGGGGCGTCTCTGGCACTGCTGTCACCGAGGCGCAGCACGGCACCTGACGGGGGGTCCCACCAAACGCGGGTGGGACGGGCATCGATAGAAGCACCAAATCTTCGGGTTAATTGAAGATGACGCAAGCAATCGGTCGAGATATTGGCCTTTTGATGATGCTTTGCTTGAAGTTGGATGATTCCGTGATCTGCGCGATAGGTCATTGAGGCTATTCAAGCCAGCGCAGATGTTGATGTGCCTGCCAATACCGCGCCGTTGCTTCAATTTGTTTGTCTTGAGAAGACGTGCAGATTGAAATGGATGGAGTAAGTTGGTTCAATTCAGTCCTGAATCTTTCTAGAAGTAAGTCCTTCATCATCCCGTCCTGAGCTTTTGCCCAAGGAATGCCCCATTTGCTTGGGCTGTGATTCTGAAGAGAGCTGGAGATGCTTGGGTGCAAGTTGAACCTGTTGGCCGTGGCGACGGAATCACAAATTGGATTCTCAACTTCTCAACCCATCTCATTCAACAGCCGAGGAGAGCTTCCTTGCTCACATCGTTTCCACAAGGAGTGGCAGCAAAGGTAAAGCTTAATTTATCTCTTCAGTCATGGCCACCCACATGGGAGTTGGGACTGTCTCACAATGAAGATAGATAAACATGAATGAACTGATGTCATTTGTAATCAGCTGCCTTCATGATGGATGAATGATGGAACGCTGTACCATTGGAGGATTGCCTCATGGAGTGGTTGGCGCGAAAGACACGCTGTCCACTTTGCCGCATGGACCTTCATCGAGCGTACCACCAGGCTCCAATCTCCAATCCTCTCCCAATTCAGCACAGCTTCCGGAGATAGCTCGGCTGTGGAGGTAATCATTAGGTTGCGGGCTTTGATATATTTAATATATGTATATACATAATACATATATATATATATATATCTATGCATTCAGTTGATATAGTGCAGATGTGTTTCTTCGAGCGTCGCCGGAAGAATGTACAGCAGTCTTGTCATTAAATCAGGACTTTCAGATTCGGTCAACTTCACTCGTATTGGACAGTCGTTGCTTTTTCTTGAAGAGTGAGCGAGATGCCAGGCTGGGGCGGTGTGAGCCCCCACAAGGCCTGGAAGCCAAGGTTGGTGGTCGCTTTAGGTCTGGGACCTGGGACGACAAATTTTATAATGAGGAGAAGAGCGCAGAAACGTCTTGCTTGGCCTCCACCCTAAGAGCAACGGCCTCCACCCTGCTATAGCGATGGCCTCTAACCTAACAGCAACGTCCTCGAACCTAAGAGCGACGGCTTCCAACCTAATAGCGATGGCCTCCAGGCCTTGGATTGTCGGTAAACACATGTCCACAAAGTTGTCTACATTGATCTACTTTGTCCGGTTCCATGTCGAGAGTGCAGTGGAAGCCACTTGACCAGCAACAAACTCTGAATCTGCGAGGCAGGCTTGGCAGCTCACCTCTTCCTTCCCTGCGTTGGCTGACTGTAGAACCAACAATGAACCGGACAGAAAGTATCTGATGTATCTGGCACTGGCAGGTTGTTGCTGAATGTTGCTGATACATTCTCAGAGTCAACCAGAGCACACCTTTCTGTGGCAAGACTAGAACCGATGGCTGAGGAGAGCAACAGAAGTCCAAACATTCCGGACTCGAGTTGAGCCAACATTCCGACCCTTCTCAGGCCCATCGGCCCATATGTCGAACAAAGTTGGCCGAATCTCAAATGCTCCACTTAGCCGGAGGTTAAGGTACCCGTTGGACCGATGTAAATAGACATGCTCATCGCAGCTGGCCACTGGCGCACTCCTTTCAAGGGGAAGTGTCTGCCACGGTCTGGAATTCTCCGGGTATGGATCGATATGGATCAGAAAAACTGGATCCATACCCGTTGGGGGGGTGAGATTCATTCGGACAATTGCTAGAATTGTGTCAGTTGTTTTGCTACAATTTCGTTTGCTACATTTTACATCATGTTACATTGTGTTACCACCTTTAATATCCTTTAATCATGTTCGGAATTCTGCAACACAGTTTGCTTACAGCGTGTGAGATCCCGCGCCTTGCGTGGGTGAAAAGGGAGCGCGAAATGTCGAGAGTCGAGCTCAAGGAAAGCTGAGTGGCAAACGTGTTGAGTCAAAAGGTTTTTGTGGAGAAGCGAGCTAATTAGCCCGTTGAAAGCAAGAGAAAGCACTTGTTCACCTGTGCTGTTTGTCTTGCACGGCGTTGATATATCGCATGTGAAGCTCAGCACTGGATGTTTCATGTTCTGAGTTAGTTCAGTTCCAGTGCAGAATGCTCTGACTCCCACACTGAATGACATGAAACGAGCGCTCGGTACTTCGAGTTTGTGCTCCCTTGTGGCAACGTAACCTCACTACGCTGCCAGGAGGGGCAGAAGCTTATTGACCCTTTGCGACAAGACCCTGGAACGCAGGTGCTGTGAAGCCAAGAAATTGTATACACTAGCAAGGACGCTACTAGGGGCTCCTGGCCTTACTACTAGGAACAAGAAGCTACACTAGGTATAACGAAGAGGTCTTGACACGGTATGTACTACTTGAACGTCACGTCAATGGGCTAAGGTGTCTAATTACCCTTTGTTCCTAGTAGAGTCCTTGTTCCTGGTAGTAGTAGGGCCAGGAGCCCCCAGTAGCGTCCTTGCTCCTAGGCGCTTTAAGGAAGCTAACCTTTGTTATTAGATGATGTTATTAGGATGTTTTCTGCTCAGCTGCTTACTCTGATCAAGTGATCGTATGCTGCCTCTTTTCCTGCTGGCCGTTTGCAGCCAAAAATTGCAGGGCACACCAAGCGCGTGCCTTTCCAAACGAGATCCTTACCTTTCCTCAAACTCTTGTCCAGTCACTTCCCAGATTTCAACTCAGGAACCTAGTGCAACACTTCAAACGATTCCTGATCTCGCTTGGATTTCTAATTCTGTCTCACAGTTTTCTGCACTGCCAAGCTTGGCCCGACACCCAGTCCAGTCCAAGAAAGAGCAGAAGGACTAAAGGAAGGACATAGGGGTGGCTGGTTCGAAGTTCAGCTCTTTGAGTTCGCCAGTTGGACCCTTCAAAACAAGAAGCTAGTAGTAACAAGTGCCTTACTACTAGTAACAGGTGCCTTACTAGTAGTAACAAGAAGCTATTAGAAACAAACCCCCTCTGATTTTTCAGATCACCTGTTCCTGACATCGTGAGGCCGTCGCTGAGACTGCACCAGGGATGGCTGCCTCCACCTCTGCAAAGGAGAAGCGGGCAAGCGCAGAAGCGGATTGACGGAGGTCTTGTTTGCTAGATTTCAGACGTGGGTCATTTTAGAAGACTGTCCAACACGCCAATCCTTCCGATTGACCAAGATTGGCTGAAGGAACTTTCATGCCATTCTTTGATCATCATCAATCCACCGGAATATGTCTCGAAATTAGGACTTGGACTGGTGGTCATTTCATTTCCTACGTTCCTGAGCGAAAGAAGCTTTGAAAAATCCGGGGCCGTGAGAATCCTAATCAACTTCATTTGCTTCTTCCGTTGCAATCCATTTGGCAAAGCCGAATTTGGACCGCTATCAAGAGGGCCCCAAAGACTGAATCATGGACCTTGGCGAGTGCCTTTGGCCGGCGTAAAGCTTGTGTACTTTTCAGGCGCTGCCCCAAACGTCTTGGACGTGTTTGAGTACCAACCAGACCCATCAGGGACGAACAAGAAAGTGTCAAGCATCCTGAGGCTATAAGCTGTTACTAGCTTCCAACCGCAACTATGACGCGGCATGCTGACGGATTGTTTAGATATGTTTAGATGTGTCTCAAACTCATAGCCACGTCATAGTGTCATAGGCCGTTGACCTCACGTCAGGCCAAGGGGCGAGCGCCCTATGTGAACCTCTTCGATATGCCGGAGCGGGGGCCCAGCCTTGGCCATTCGGCTGTTCTATGTTCTGTCATTCAAGACCTAAAAAGCATCTTGTCAATTTTTGCCTTTTCAAAAGAAACAGGATGGAGCAGAGACTTAGATTTGGATTCATCGGGTGAAAGACAAAACTTCGTGCCAGCTCCAGGAGCTGATGCCAGGAGCACAGCCTTCCGCGAACCCTGCGGCTCGGGAGGAGTTTGAGCAACGCTGTCGTTGGGATGCCCAGATAAATGTCGATCGCTCGGAGTCCGGCAGTAAGGGGCAGCGCTGGATCCGAACTGGGCGATACGAATAGACAACTTTTCGCTTCGTGAAGTCGGGTCTTCTTTCGGTGCGGTAACCTTACAAGCAAACACGAGTAGAAACTGTTAAGTTAACACCTCTAATTAAAATTGGACATATAGGTGAAACTATACGGGTTTCTTCTCGGGCATTCCGCTCGATTTCGTTTGCAAAATTCGCGATGTGCAGATCTGCACTCTTCCCCACTTGGAGTCCCGATGTTTTAATTGTTTACCAAAAGTCTAGGAGCCAAGTGAATAGTGCATGAGCTATCTTGTGTCCAGCAATGCCCTGTAGGTAGTAGGTTGCTTTGCGATACTTGATTAAGTAGGAGCCTACTTGATTAAGTAATGGCGGGCCAACAAAAGAAAAAGGTATCAAGAAAGGAGTTCCGATGGTTGCTCCCAGGTCAGTTGCACCGCGACGAGGAACAAGAGCGCTTGGAGAGGGAGTATGAGAAAAGCCCCTCGGCACCTGCAGCTCTGCAAAGACGTGTGAGAAGTGACACGTAGATTGGGAAGCTGGTTGTCTAAGAAAGTGTATGTAGGTTGCCCTGTTAGGGTTTAGATACTAGAATCTACAAGTTACGCAAGGAAGCAATCCACGTCAATATAATTTGCACATCGTGTCTAGTTAGCAGGCTCGGATCGCGAAGGTATCCAAGGAGAATCGCTATGCGTCCCCGGTGAAAGAGTTCGTTGTGATGTCTCCGGAATGTTCGGAACATCCGAGCAGGGCCTCGGCGGCCTCGGCTTCCTTTCAACAGAGTCCTCAACCCTCCAACCAAAGAGCGATGGCCTCCAACCCACTAGCGATGGCCTCCAACCTATTAGCGATGGCCTCTAACCCATTAGGGATGGCCTCCAACCCACTAGCGATGGCCTCCAACCTATTAGCGATGGCCTCTAACCCATTAGGGGTGGCCTCCAACCCACTAGCGATGGCCTCCAACCTACTAGCGATGGCCAAAGGGATGGCCTCCAACCCACTAGCGATGGCCTCCAACCTACTAGCGATGGCCTCTAACCCATTAGGGATGGCCTCCAACCCACCAGCGATGGCCTCCAACCTATTAGCGAGCGATGGCCTCTAACCCATTAGGGATGGCCTCCAACCAACTAGCGATGGCCTCCAACCTACTAGCGATGGCCTCTAACCCATTAGGGATGGCCTCCAACCCACTAGCGATGGCCTCCAACCTACTAGCGATGGCCTCTAACCCATGAGGGATGGCCTCCAACCCACTAGCGATGGCCTCCAACCTAATAGAAAAACAATACACACGACTTCGTGTCTACCGACATGTTGTCTCCATCCACAAGTCAAGAGATACGAGATATTATTCCGCACACGAGATTTGGTAACCAGACTGGAATGCAACAGGTATTGTGTTGATTCATCAATATCTGTAGGACCAATATGAGTTGACTTCCGTGATGAAAGTCAGCAATTGTCAGCAGGGATTTTCGGATCGTGGCAAGGCATGACTGCCGCAGCCAAAGAGCAAGCATCCATCAATGAGCTCCAGGCGGGAACGGTGGACCAAAGTGGACCGAACGTCCATCGACCACAGGTTCACGTGGGTTCTCGACAGTGACCACGATCACCACCAGAAAACCGCTAAGCATTGTCCCGAGATCCGAAGGTCTTTATATGTTGGGGTGGTCTCAGAAAAGCACGAGGGGGCTGCAGGCATTGAATTGCAAGTTTAGCGGGCTGTATAGAGGTCAAAATTTGAACAGACCCATATGTTTATTGGGATCAACAACTCCAGTAGTGCTCAATTACTGTAGTTTATCTAGAGTGTGCAGTGCGTTGGCCGCCCTGCCAATCCTTGCTGTCTCCACTTGTACACTTGTAGGACTGGCTCTTGACAATGAACCATTGCAACACTGTGCAACACAAAACATTATATAAAGTTCTTGAACTGGGTCTTCGCAAAGGATTTAGCCAATGTGCGCGGCTTGAAGGCAATGTTTCCCACATTGGATGCGGATTTAATTCGCTGCTTGGTTTGCACTACTGGAAACAAAAACGCTTTCCTTTGACCATTCTTTATTGCATGAGGGCTTTCAAAAGGATTGTTTTGGACGTCATGACGCTTGAAGAAGGTCTACACACTGAGCGCTCTTTGGAACTCTCAGGAATTATCCACGCAGAAGCCCCAACGCCTCAGCAAGCCGTGGAAACGCTCTTGGCCTTGGCTGCAGATGCTGCGCCAGAGGTGTGGGACGGAGCAGAAAAAGACTGCTTGAAACCTGAGACCTTGTGAAAGAACAACGGAACAAGCCATACAACAGAAACTTCATTGAATCAATAACACCAACGGTCATCAAATGAAATGCTTCAACTCTTGTAACGATTTGCATGCATAAGCACTCACCTTCCTTTTAGTGTTGTGGTCTGTATGGACTTTGAGTTGGAGACAACCACTCACCACTCTTCGATTCTTTTTGAATGCATGGTATTGCCACTGAAATCTAATTTTCAGTACACATGGGTGCCTTTAGGTCACTTTCTTCGCCAACTTTGACAACTAGACTAAGCTAGCACCCTGAGACCCAAGCTCGACACAGAAGCCAAGTAGCAAAGTACCACTGTTGGGCTCTTTGATCAGGGACAAGCTCCTGTGGCTACACCACCACCCTTGGATGTTGGCATGAACGTCAGGGGCTGAGTCTTAAAGAGTTGACTGCAAAGATGTCTTCTACTCGCTCAGATTCAAAGAATTTAAGAGCAATGGCCTCCAACCTACTAGCGATGGCCTCCAACCTAAGATGATTTAAGGAAATTTAAGGAATCTAAGGATCTGGATATTCACGGACTCATTCTGTGCCCGATTATTGCGAATGGGTCGCTGTCAGTGCTTGTTTTTCTGGTGCAGCATGTTCTTGGAGGATGAGGAGAAGTTTCCAGTCTTGACTGATGCCAACGGCTGGCAGGCGGGCTGGATTCCTTGGCCGTTGAAAAAGCGTGGCCTCATTTCTCTCACCGACAATTTATGGATTCGGTCCCAGATGCTCGGCTTCAGGCCCTTTCGTTTCGGATGGGCTCGATGCTTCAGGTGGTGAGCCAGCGCTTAATCGACCGTGACCCAGAGGAGGAGAGGGGATCACAGGGGATTTGATCGGATCCGCGAGACAAACTCTGAAAGTTCTTCCCCCTCCCACGTTCATCTTTCTTCGACTCTGCAAATGTAGCGAAGAGACCCAGCAGACCGAACTCCCAGATATAGAAGCTACTAGTAACAAGAAGCTATTAGTAACAAGGGCATCGCTGCTGGTAGCAAGGGCATTACTACTAGTAGCAAGAAGCTACTAGGGGGGGACTCCTCGGAACTTTCCTAACCGACAGCTGGCCTAGGACTTGGGCAGTGCCTGGTGCGATCGTGCCAAGGTGGTCGACTGGAACTCACCATGCTTTGGTCGACTGTTTTCATCGCGAAATGTCGAGTCTTGCCATGTCCCAGCCTTTTGTCCCTTCAATGCCTGAGAGTTGGCTTGAATTCTCAGTGCGATCACATCTTCGTTGATCGGAGCAAGCCATCGGACTTTGGGGCAAACGGGATCTTTCTTAATGCTGATAGCATTAATGCGATTGCATGGTATCACAAGAAGCTACTAGTAACAAGTGCATCGCTACTAGTAACAAGTGCCTTACTAGTAGTAACAAGAAGCTATATGTTTAGGATTGTGTAGGCATTCGGAACGTCTCAAAGGGTCACCCATCTCGAGCGTGCCGCCAGGCTGTCCAACATATCCCAGCACCTACCTTACCTGAGAAGGTCGAGAAGACTCCGAAAAAGAAGCCCAAGAAGGATGAGAAGGTTCGGGCCCCTTCGGGCTCATTGCAGTACTCATTGGAGTACTCATTGGAGTCATCCAAGTCATCTCATATCTAGTTCGAGCGCAGACCCAGGAGGCGACGAAGGAGGTGGAAGAGGATGACATCTTCGAAACTGACTACGACTTTCGCCACAGGCACGCCGCTTACGAACCCATCAACTCATGTGCTTAACATATCGAGCCTGTCACACAGGTGATGTTTGTGAACAACTAGGGTCTCGTTTCTAAAGATAATGACGTTTATCATGCATCAGCCTAGTGCATGTTGCTTCTTGGTAGTACTTTGCTCGGTTTAATCAAACCGTTTGTTGAACGGGGTGGACAGGATCGGCCAAAACCGTGCCAAGCACCGAGCAAGGCGGAGAGTTGGATGGACTTGAGTGGTCGGGGTCATGAGGTCAATGTTGTGGAAGAACTGTAGGACGACCACCTAGCAAGACATAGAACAACAAGAACTAGAGTGATATGGCCCGCCAAACCATGGAAGATTGACCATGTCTGGTAGTCACTGGCAGTCTCTTCTGTTCATTTCAGTGGTCAAGCAAGGTCCCTGGTTTTGACTCATAGCCGTATAGATACAAAAGCCGGTGTCGTGGTTTAGAACATTTCAATGCTGACAGGGAAGCTACTAGGGGCTCCTGGCCTTGCTAGTAGGAGCAAGGACGCTACTAGGGGCCTTGTGCATATTTGTGCAAGGTACGGCCGAGGTCGTGGGACGGTCAGAGCCTTTGAGACGCAGAGAAACACCCATGTTCAGAGAAACACCCATGTTCACTTGGACTCAGATGCTGTATGGAAGTGTATCAAATTGTCAAAGGAGTCTTGTCTACCAAAGCACCCTACAGCTTTGAAAGGCCCTTGTCATCCGGATTCCAAGATGAGCTGATACAAGCATCCTCATCTTGTTGCGTAACAAGATGCAACATGACGGTCCGAGAGTGCCACTGGGCTTCACTCTTTGTTCCACTTCCGAACATCCATGACCTGTCCCTCCACCCGCTGATCGGTAGCCGATCACCTGCGTCAAGGCCTCCCGTTCTAGTGGAGTTGAAGAGGAGGAAGACGACGCCCGGACCCGGAGAGTGCGGAGAGCGGCCAACCGATTCGGGAACACCCGGAAAAGGCTCAAATAGAACTTCGCTCAATATGTACATATTATGAGGACATCATAGGCGTAGAGTACATATGATCCTTGAAGATTGAGTTTGCTCATTTTGTTGAACTTCATGCTTTCCCATCAGCCGCTGTGCCAAAAAGTTGGCTTATTGCTCTTCACTTTCTGAGGCATCCGTGGCTGACTCGAGTTCCACTGGCTATGCTTGACCCGCTGTCCCTGGGTAGACGGGCAACTTGATGGGATGCCGTGGCCACGGATTCAAATCCTCGGTGCGACGTTTGATGATATTTGACGCTTCAAATCTGAGATGTTTGGCGCTTCTTCAAATGATCTGATGGCCACCTGGTGCATTCCTCCAAGTGTCGGCAGTCTTCACCATTGTACAGAGTTCTCACGTTGCAGTTTGAGGGAACGGCCAGGGTCATGTGCTCGGTTCCTACCAGTTGCATCTATCAAATATCATCTAATTATCGGTGAGTCGTGGCTTTTTCCTTTGCCGTTTCTCTTTTTCCAAAGCACGCTTGTTTTCGAGAAAAGTCTTATAAACCAGAACATCATTTTGTTTCCATCTCTCTGAAGCCACTGCCCCGCAGATGTGCAACGGGTATATGCTCCAACCTAGTTTCATCTGAATTCTTGGATGGGATGCTTTGTTGGTAGTGGGGAATCTGAATCTGGTTCCGGGAAAATTGTGTTCAAGCACTGGTTTAGTTTTGGTGCGCCTTGAAGTGCGCCAACTTTCTACCAGACAATGACTTCTGACATGTAATACATATGTGTCAATATGAATACTTGGGATCGTGTGGGATATAATTGCACAACAAACAGAACAAAAACAGTTGAAGACCTGCACGAAGCTTGTGCATGGATTTGCTGAAGGGGATTCTTGTTCGAGCCATTCCTTCAACGGGCGTGAGCATGACGGCGGAGCAGTGAGAATGTGAAAAAGCTTTTGACATGTCTGGACGGTTGCAATCAGGCAACCATGGATGAACAGAATGCAATCAGTACTCCAAGCATTTGCAGTGGTTTCAGGGTTTGAAGGTTGCAAGGTTCTGAGCACAACTCGCAAGTGCAAGTACAGGCTTGCATCTCACTAGTTTCATCTAGTTTCAGGAGACTTCCTCTTGTGTTGTCCATTCATCACACCTTCTGTGAGGTCATCGTGGAGCTCAATTGGGATGTCCCAGCAGACAATGTGGTGGTGGTGGCAGCAGCTCCCAGTTTGCCGAACGGTTTAACTAAAGTTGTCTTTATGGTGCATGCTTGGGTTATCGAAGTCTGGCGCGACTTAAGATACGTTGATGGAAAATCCTTTGAATGAGCCGCTTGAGATGTGGCTTTGAAAAGGATTAGCAGCATAAAGACCTTTCATCACCTTCCCCAATGTCAAGCATTTCGCTTTTCATGTCTATTGGTGACAAAGAGCAATCCTCATCCCTAGAGAGGACATGATTTGCTGAGGACCTATGGATGAGTTCAGCCTCTTTGTCGAGCCACAAGTTTCTCAAAGACTTTGAGCCGAAGCGGAATGTGCCTTGGACATTGTCCAAGTAGGTTGGAGGCCATCGCTCTTAGGTGGGAGGCCATCGCTACTAGGGCATGACAAACGGGTGAGTGTCCTGGGTGATGTGCTCGCTGACCGCTGATCGACTCCATTCCCGATGCCGGATTGTCTGAGGCATTGAACGAGTATCTTCAGTTCATACCGCACTACCACATCTTTAGCATGTCAAGCAGCGAGGACGACAACCGAACACGGAAAGACGTATCAATGCATAGTTTGTAGTTTGGTTTTGTGCTCTTCATGGAATGATTCAGTGCAGGAGTGGCCATCCTAATGAGACCTACATTCCAAAGAAAGCAAAGAAAGGAGCAAGCATAAGAAAACGATCGGTGTACTGGGCCAATTCGATTCTGTGGCGAACAAGAGCTTTTCCATCCTATCTCTTCAAATCACAACCACCAATCTGAAGGGTGATGAAAGAATCATAGATTGAATGTGCTCATTTTTGTGGACGCAGTGGTCAGGACTACAAAGAGCTTTGCAGCGACCCTTCTTTACAATACTGTGCAGAGGAGAACCGCCGTTCAGATTCCTCATGATTCATATCAAATGACAGAAGATTTAGGAATCAATTTTGGACGATATCTTTCAAGACACAAGAATGCTTGAAAAGCCGACAGTTACGCCGTCCTCAGAACGCTTTCTCTTGATCTGAGGACCCAGATGCCGGTGGTCGCGTCACGGGACAAACCGTGGTCACCGAGGCGGGAAGAGGACTTTGACGAGTCCCGTCATCGAAAAAAGACAAAACATCGAACCGTTTTAGACTGTTTTCTAGATTTTCTTTTTTGTCTTTGGACCGTTTTAGACCTTAAAAGCCTGTTCCCTTTTTCTCTAGACCTTTCTTCCTTCTGCTTTCAGAATACATGCTAGTTCCTGCTGCTTTCAGATTACATGCTAGGAGTGACATGTGGTTACCAAGACCAGGGGGAACGAACATGTTTTCATGCAAAAGAAGCGAGCGCAAGATTGTTATCTGAAGCACTGATTGACATCCCAGCCCCAGGATGTCCGTCAGCTGTGCATTCATGACTTGTACCGCATAAGAAAGGCCGACAGGCGCTCCTAGGGACGGGGGCTGGGACACATTTCGATGCCCTTTGTTCCGTTCGTAGCTTCTTGTTAGTAGTAACAAGTGCCACGCTAGTAGTAACAGGTGCCTTACTAGTAGTAACAAGAAGCTATTAGCTTCTTGTTCCGTTCGTAGCATCCTTGCTCCGTTCGTAGTACGGCCAAGCGCCCCTAGTAGCGTCCTTGCTCCTAGTAGCGATGCCCTTTGCTCCTAGTAGCTTCTCGCTGTCGGATGTTTCAAAAATCACTTGTCGGCATTTCCTGGAGCCTTTGCACTGGACAGGATGTTTTGATATGTTTTGATGTTTTGTGGCATTGGGGTAGTTTGTTTGGCCAGTGACTCGAGCTGGTGCCAGGGTCAAGATCGAGCCCATGGAAGAATTCACGAAGATTCCCTTTATATCGTCCAAGCGCCTCGGGCAGCCGGACAACACGTACCAAAGATGGGAGACATATTCTCTTGCGATTTCCTGCTTTGCTCGTTGTCTTCATTTAAATTTGTTCCTTGTTTGTATCTGTTTGTTTCCTGGCTAGGGCCTCCCTCTTTCTCTCTCTCTCTCTCACACATTACCCTCTTATTGTCCTCTCTTATCCCTGTGCGTCGCTTTGACTCGTTTGTCTAGTTGTTTGTCTTTAACAGTCGTTTGTCTCACTATGCGCCGCATACCTACCCAGGACTAATGGGGGACTTCAACACCCGCCTCTACTCCAACCAATTGGAGATGCCAATGCTGTTCGTGGAATTACTTCTTCTACTCGCCTGGGCCGATACTGTATCTTCCCTCCTTCTGCCCCGCTCCCTCCTGACCCGTTCAACCTGGTTCTGCCTTTCTCTATCCCAACAAACCGACCTCGTCCAGTCACTATAGGCACAGCTTCTGATTGTTTTTCCCGTAAGCCCTCAATCGAAAGCCTTATCTCTCTCCCGCTACCCAAGTGCAACTCGTGCACCTGAACACGGTTGGTTAATATCTCTTCTGCGGATGTAGCAACGCTGCGTCGCCAAATTCGTGCTCATGCGAGGCGGGACAAAAACATTGGATTCTCCACCAACTGGAGGCCGACCAACGCTCTTCTCCTTCGCAGCGCTGGCCAACCATTCGGAGGGTTAGAAATATATACCAACCACGCACGCAATCCGTTTGCTGGCCGTCTGGACGCCCCTCCATTGCAGCGGAAAAAACCCTGAAGTATTAGCTCAACATCTGCGCGATAATGTCTGGAAGCCAACCCAATGTCTCTTGCCATTTGGCTTGCGGCACCTCCTCCTTGAGTATTTCTATTCTTGCTTCCTCTCCGCCTCTGCCCCTGACCATTGGAAAATGGCCCGGGTGGTGATGCTCTTCAGGGGAGGTACCAAGAACAGTCGACAGCCCTCCTCTTGCCGTCCCATCAGCCTTGCTAACGCTATTCACAAGTTGCATGCTGCCCTTCTACAAGCCTGCCTAGCCAAGCACTTCGATTCGCGCATGAGTGAATTTCAGTATGGCTTTCGTTAGAAACATTCCACTGCCACCCCCCTCTTTTTCATTTGCCGTATGGTTGAACTGTTTGAGAGGCACACCACTCACTTTATGTTCTATTTTTTGGATTGGTCTCAGGCCTTCGATTGTATCAGCCATGCTCATCTCACCGCCTCCCTTGTCCGTATCGGTCTCCCTTGCCCATTTAGTGTATGCTATCTTTGCACTGTACTCAAATGGCAAGTTCGATGTAACAGGCTCTTCCTTTTTTCTCTTCGACCTACTCCCTCTCCCAAGGTATCCGTCAAGGCTGCCCCTTGAGCCCGTATCTCTTCATTCTTGTTCTGTCTGTGCTTATGCGCGACGTCCATACCACCTTTGCATCCCTCTATCATTTCACGCCATGGACTGTCTCGATATCGAATATGCGGATGATACCGTCCTCATAGCTCGCACCCAACTCACTTTGCACTCGCCTCCTGCACACTCTCCAACATGAGGCATGCAAGCGCGGGCTTCTCCTTAACCCAGAGAAGTGCCAACTTCTTCAATTTCATTCCGATCTTCAAATACATCTCTCGCCCGAGGTGGACCCCCACCACCCTTGTCCTTGCCAACATTGCACTGGCGCCGCAGCACTTGGCCCTCTCTGTGTTTTAAATACAGTGAAATACCTGGGGGCTCGTATATCCAGCGATGCCTCTTCGTCTGCAGACTGCAACTACCGATACTCCCAAGCTTCTGGCGCGATTAGCTCCCTTTTTCATCCTTTTTCAAGTTTTTACTAACCCAACTGATGTGGGAGCAGATAGTTTTCCCAGGAAAATAGGATTGTCTTCACTCGAACACTGCTGACGTGTAGTCCATTCGCATTGGCCGCGGACTGCATTTTGCTTGTAAAGCAAAGTCGCTGGTTGGCGCATTGAATTTCAATTTGAATCTGCTCGAGCAGCGGCCATGAATAGTATCATTTGCTTACAAGTTGAGCCAAGAATACGCTTACTACAGTGCTCACCTGATGTCACACGACGGTGATTGAACACTCAAGTTTAAATTTGAAGTCAACATCCCAACCTCCGACCTCCGAGCGAGCCGGTTTTTCTGAGTGACAATTCATTAGACCTCACACCTTCTTCAAACCGGGTTGAACATGCACCCCTACCAGGTTGAGGGGCCATGCGGGCTACTTGTGGTCTTCGCACTTCTCCAGACGAGCTTGCAAAAACCGACCAGCTTCACACCAGAAGCAGGGTCCCGCAGGCGACCAGGTGGCCACAAGTGGGCACAAATTTTCCCGCTGTTTCTTCGGCTCTGCAAACGCGATGGAGGGTTTGTTGTGACTCATATTACAGCTACGACGGCCCACTTCGCCGCTGCAACCATTTGGTGAGTTTGGGTTTTCCAAAGAGTTACAGTTTCATTCCGAGATTGCCACCAGTGAAACGGGGCCCTTTTGACTAGCCGGTTTGATTGGGATGTCATGACTCGCAGCAACCGGCGAGACCGGTACACACAGTACAATAAGCACTGCAACACGCACTGCAACACACTGCAACACGCAGCAAATAAACCACTTCCGCATACTTCCGCCATATCCTGTCTCCAACGTGCCCGAATGTCTGAGGTGGTGGACCTACACCATAAATCTATTGGACGAGCTTCTCTTCTGAAGATACGGTGAGGTCTAGCAGCTAGCGCAGGCATAGGTGCTCCCTTCTCTACCGATGTTCACGCATGAGATGTTTGCTGGTTGAGTCAATCTATTCGCTGGATGATAAAGCGAAATGTGGAGCAAGCTGGCGACTCACTGACATTTCATTACACCCAGCTGGCTCAGAAGTAGCTACTCTGCGAGAAGGTCTTTAGTGGCTGCAAATCGACACGGTTTTTGGACGTAGATCTGGGATCACCTGTTTTTTCTCCACTTAGGTGCCCCTTGGATGGCACCATCGACGCTTATACCTTCGGTGAGGAGTGCTCCACTCGTGTCATGAAGAAGGCGACAGACAGCGGGGCGACAGCGGGGCGACGGCGGACGACTCGATTCTTGCCGAAAGGATGGGTGGGCGCAGAATGGTGAAGAAGAAACATAAAGACATCAAATATAATCAAATTAACATTAGATATAAATCGAATGGAAAGCAAGAAACACTGCGAAGATCTGCGAAGCATCTGAGCAAACATCAGACATAAACATGAACAAAGATCAGCTTCGTTTGCTGCCCAGTGATTCTGGTCTTACATAGTGATGGTCCGAATCGGATGGTTTCCGATTTGGATTGTCGGTCGTGATGTCCAAGACGTTCAGATGATCCGTCCAGGCTAGTACTGTACTGACGTGCAAGCACCCGTGTCACATAGTGCCGTTTTCATAGTAAACTCGTTCCGCTTGAAAGAAGACGTTCGTTTGACGCGTGACCTTCGCACTCGGTGACACTCCAGGGGTGCCACCCCAATGGTGATATCCTTCGTCCATTGTCTCGTGTGCTGGGCCAAGGGCTTTGAGGACCCTAACTTGATGTACTTGAACATTCACTTATTCAATGTTATTCACCGCAATTTGGTTGGAGGCCATCGCAATTATGTTGCAGGCCATCACTCTTAGGTTGGAGGCCATTGCTATATATTGCCATTATATATATTATTGAATGTTACTTCTATCATTTGGATTGCCCTTCGAGGTGGCCAGAATGGCAACCACAACACGTGACAGGCTTACCCCCTGCCCAATCAACCCAAAGGCTGAGAATTGCTTTTTAGTTATATTTTGGCTTTATGTTTCTTTCGCTAAGCATGGATCTTAACTATGATACGGCTGAAGCAACAGACAAATCGCTCCCGGTCCGGTTCTTAACATCTGCCATTTGGTGTGAAAAAACATCCGCCACAGTAGCCTTTGCGGCCAGTATGGCATTGACGTGGAGAGGGTGGAGACGTGTATGGCGCAGACCAAGGAGATGATACCGGTTCGATCCGATTTCCACTCAGGTTTGGCCGCCAGGCCCTGAACATTTAGAATCAAAACCAAAGGCCTGTTTGCTCTTAGGGTGGAGGCCATTGCTTCTAGGTTGGAGGCCATTGCTTGGCCATTGTTCAGTGCTTCCCATGAATGCTTGCATGTGCCCCAGCATTCACTTAGAGGAAGGATGCAACAGGTTTGGCCAGCTTCAGCACACGGGTGCCGGGGTCAGATTTCTGAAAATGTCGTTATTGTTGTCTACTGTAAGGTATGAAGGCGTACTGTAGCTTCTTGGCTTTGGGCATTTTCAGGAGGAAAAGCTCAAGGAGCAGTTGACGAACACAGCGTGGGGTAACCCGGAAGGTGGATAGCCAGCTGTGGAACTGATGCCGTTCAACCCCTGGGAGCAGATGCAGTTATTAGTGCTGAATCTCCCTGTCGAGCAGTTGTGGTTTTAATATGTTTCCGCATCGACAAACATATTTGATGCCACCTTCCGAAATGAAGATGTTTGCAAGAACCGACAAATAATGATCACGATGACTCTTTGGCACTCTGAGGTGGTCTCCAAGAGCTTTGAGGATCAATGGATGGAGGCACGGAGATTGTTGGAAAACACAGCAAAGGAAAAGAATCAATCACGTACACGATCAATTCATTGAATGTTCGCACCACAGTTCATCTAGTCTAAGACACCAGGCCAGACTCCATAAATATCCATAACAGATTTGTTCAAGAGTCGAATGCGTGAGACAAAACGTCACTAGTAGGGTGGAGGCCATCGCTAGTTGGTTGAAGGCCATCGCTACTAGGGTGGAGGCCATCGCTAGTAGGGTGAAGGCCATTTCTATTAGAGTGGAGGCCATCGCTTGTAGGTTGGAGGCCATTGCTATTAGGTTGGAGGCCATTGCTATTAAGTTTGAGGCCAGTGCTATTAGTTGGATGCAATTGCTATTAGGTTCGAGGCCATTGCTATTAGGTTGGAGGCCTTTGCTATTAGGTTAGAGGCCATCGCTATTAGGTTGGAGGCCATTGCTATTAGGTTGGAGGCCATTGCTATTATGGTTCGATGCAACTACTTTTAGGTTGGAGACCAATGCCAGTAGGCTTGGGGCCATTGCTACTAGGTTGGAGGCCATTGCTATTAGGTTGGAGGCCATTGCTATTAGGTTACGGTTAGATGCCATCGCTATTAGGTTGGAGGCCATGGCTATTGGGTTGAAGGCCATTGCTATTGGGTTGGAGGCCATTGTTATTGTGGTTGGAGGCAACTGCTATTAAGGTTGGAGGCCATTGCTATGAGGTTGGAGGCCATTGCTATTAGGTTGGAGGCCATTGCTATTAGGTTGGAGGCCATTGTTATTAGGTTGGAGGCCAGTTGGAGGCCATTGCTATTAGGTTGGAGGCCATCGCTATCAGGTTGAAGGCCATTGCTATTAGGTTGGAGGCCATTGCTATTATGGTTCGATGCAATTACTTTTAGGTTGGAGGCCATGGCTATTAGGTTGGAGGCCATTGCTATTAGGTTAGAGGCCGTTGCTAT